CCCACTCAGCAGAATTGATAGTTCAGTCTCTAACATTATGCTCTCTTTGCTTTTTCTCATAGTAGCTTTGCCGAATCTGTTCCTGTGACTCCATCTTGGAGAGAAATATCAGCTGTGCTGCTGCCATCAACACCTTTTTTTTATAGATGTTTGAGATTGGTCTGTTTTTCAGTGTAGTCCTGTTTCTCTAACTGGCTGGGTGTTTTCTCTTCATCCACTGACATGAGAGCCTTTTGCTATCCAATTATTAATCGAAACAATAATCAACACATTAATGGATTAGCAAAATAATCAGTAGTTGCAGCCCTACTATATATTAAAATGACCCCCAGGCATTATTGTCCACTTTAGATGCAGTAAGTGAAGTGGTTGGAGGCAAATTTTTGACAATCATCTACAATTCCTAGACTGTGTTAAGACTGCTTATTGTATTCCTCTTTAACTAAATAGATTAAATTAACAAAACAATTCATAAAGAGTCACCAAATTTTCATGAAGAACTGAAATGAAAATATCTAAACAGGTCTCTAATCTTTCATTAGTGAAGAGACCTATTCTGCACAACTCTAAAAAGATAAATGATTAAAAAAAATACAATTAGAGAAATGTAAAAGGTTTCAAGCAAAAACTTAAAATCAAAGAGATTCTAAATATCTAGAATGGGAATTTGATGGGCGAATAAATGTTTTAAAAGTGTTAAAGGTTTGACAGCAAGAAATTTAAAAAATATAATAAAAAAAAAAATCTAGATCTAACATCTAGTGGTAAAGTTGCATACTGCAGTTAACTTTAAGCAATTTACCTTCCATTTTATATGTATGATAACATATATCTATTGTGCTACTCCTTCAAATGAGCTTTCCTCTGACTTATTTTTTGTAAAAAGTGCTTTTAAAGAATTTTAGATATCTTACACCACTGGTCTATGAGGGCCATAATGGGGCTTTTGCCTATTTCTAACAGTCTATGGAGAAAGGTGGGTTAAACCCTGAACGAGTTACCATCCCATTACAGGGCAATAAAGAGTTCGCACAACCATGCATAGCGACAGTGGCGTCTGATGAAGGAGTTTGCTTGCAACCATAGGGTTATCAGTTCAAGCCCCGGGTCTGGATTTCAGTGTCATTGCGAGACACCTGACCTGCATTTCCTACTGATGGTGATCAGAGGGACTGGTGGCGCCAGTGTACACCAGCCTCGCTTCTGTCAATGAGCCCCAAGGCAGCTTTGGCTATGGTAAATGGTAAATGGCATGTACTTATATAGCGTCTTTATTCAAGTTAGGAGACTTGACCAATGCGCTTTACACTACATTCATTCACCCATTCACACACAGATGATGGCAAGCTACATTGCAGCCACAGCTGCCCTTGGGCTCACTGACAGAAGGGGGGCTGCCATACACTGGCGCCACTAGGCCCTCTGACCACCATAAGTAGACAATGCAGGTGAAGTGTCTTGCCCAAGGACACAACAACACTGAAAGTCGAAGTCGGGGCTTGAACCGTCAACCCTTCGATTTCAGGGCAAACTCCTACATCCAACACCACTGTCGCTACAACATAGCTCGCCACCATCAGTGTGTGGGGATGTGCATAAATGGGTGAATAACTGAATTTAGTGTAAAGTGCTTTGGTGAAGTCTTCTGACTTGAAAAAGTGCTATATAAGTAGAGACCATTTACCATTTACATGCTAACCAATCCATCTAAGTCATGTTTTTGGACTAAGGGAGGAAGAACCCTGGAGGGAACCTGCAGGCAGACCTAGGACCTTCTTGCTGCACCACAACAGTGCAACTAAATGCTCCACCATGCAGCACTACAGTAAAACCATTACAACTTAATGCAGGCAGCAGTCAACCGGTCTGTCGATGACAACGATCAATAGATGGGGCTCTTGGGATACAGAATTTTTCCTTCTACTCTCAAAGACATGATGCAGGTGCTGCCAGTGAACAGCACACCTTAGCTGCGGTCATTAGGGAAAAGGGTCAAACAATTAGCAAATCAATATTTTTTTTTTAACATAGAAGGGAAAAATCACAAAAGCAAAATGATCTTGATATTAAGTTAAACATTTAAATATTCAACTGATTCAATGATTCAATTAGATAATGATTCAACTTCGACTTCACCCATTTATTAATTGTGTTTTTCATTGTGATCTTAGGAAGAATTAACAAGAAATTAAAGGGAAAATCTAACTGACATAAATATAAACATATTTCATCGCCATGGACAGTCATCAATGCACAATAATATTAGTAATCATCACAATTCAACAAATGTATTTGGTGGCAGAACTAAATGAAAGTTAATTATAATATCAAACAATCCATTATATCACTTAACAACCTAAACATGACTGTTGAGTGAAATATTACCAAGCAATGACCCAACCGTTGAAAATTAAGTCAAGGACCATCCCAACTCCAAATCCTAGACAAATCTGATTCTGGAACTTTATCCAACAGAGAATTCTAAGTAGCCCCATTCAATTTCAAAACCCAAGTTTATTTTTTTAAACTTATCAAGGCTACAGCTACTGCATTTTTTGCAAAACTTATTCAGGCAAAAATCCACATCAAACTTAGATCATCTGTGCATATGATGGAGGAATTGACCCTAGCTTTAAGGCGGTGGCCTTAATTCCCCCATAGTTAGCCATGTGCAATCTGCATAAATGCACTCCAGTTCACTTGCATAAAATTGTGTTTTATTCAACACAATGCTAACACAAAATTCTTTTTTTTAATGGAGATCCTTATTTCACAATCCTACTGCTTGAATTAAGCCTTAAGGTATATTGTTTGTGTTTTTCTGCCATTGGTGCAGTGGTTAGCCCTGTTGCAGCAAAGGTCCTGCTTGAGCCCTGGCCTACTTACATGTTCACAGGTACTCTGCCTTCATAAATATTTCGATTTTTAACATTACAGCCTGCACACATGCTGCCCAAATGGAATCATACCTGCCTGGGTGTTGATGATGACAATTAATTGTGAAAATATATATATTTTTTATTGATCTCATCCCCTTCTGCTTTCTTTGAATTGTTAATAGAGTTGTTCCACTGATGAAAAATGAATGCAAGAGTGAAAAGTGTCACAAGCAAGCAAGGTCTACGGCTAAACAGTGATGCTGGGGCAGCCGCGCACACATTAAACACACACGGCTGCTCTTCGTGCGCTGTGCGTCCCAGTGCGCCAGTGAGTGTGTGTTTTGAATTCAAATGCAGCCGCACACCAGAGCAGCAAATGCGGAGTCTAGGAAGAGGGAAAGTGGTGATGTGTTTGGGAAAAAATAGGAGAAAAAAAAATCCCACAGGGGTTTGATAAGTGCCCCACTTTTAAAAATGCAATAAGAGGCGCACCTTGCCAAGTAAAATTTTATTTTTTTTTTAAAGCGCAACGATTGCATGAAAATGCACCTACCATATTTACTTCTGAGACCATATCTATGCTTGCAATGTCAATGTTCATCCCCACCGCCACCGGAGCACCTGCGGAGGAGAGGATGCGTTAATCCAGGACCAGATATGAATAATTCTGCCATCATGTAAATTTAACAGCTCCGTGACGCTGCAGGAGAGCCGTGCATCATCGGGCCGGGCAGCAGCCGTCACGTCTGACACCCACTTTAATTGAAATGCTGTTAATTTCATTTATTTAGCGGGGGTAATCAAACATTGATGAGCGGGATCGATCACCTTAAAAAGCCTCTTATCAAAGCGGAATACGCTCATCATTTCTCTTCGCCTAATTGGCAAGGCCCATTTGACTGTGAAGGGATGATTAAAGCGGATTTTGCGATTCATTAAGCATGTATTGCACGTCGGGAGGGGCGCGAAAAAAATTTTCTTTACCTCCAAAATCCGGCCTCAACCGAATGTCGTATCCTTTCATCAGCCTGTCCACTGTTTCCTTCACCAAAGGCATATTACTCGGATCTTTTAGATCCTTGACGCTGCAGAAAAGATAAAAGGTATATATAGAAAAAAGGAGCAACATGACATGCGAAACTACATGTGGGAAGAAAAAAAAACATAATCAAGGTTTACCTTTGCGCCCAGATGAAGGTCACCAAGAGGGAAAAAGTCAAAATCCCAAAGTGGTTTTCCCTGATCCTCCCCATCGCAACAGTTTTCCCGATGGCTTCTGGATGCGAGTGAGGAGAGCGCACATCCAACTTACTCCAGACGGTGCAGAGGAGCCAATGAGAGGCGCATGCGTGCAGCGAGCCCAAGATCAAAGAGTGGAGAGAGATGATGGTGGATGAGCCGTTTCCATTGCAGAGGAAAATATTAAAGGGACAACTGGATGTGCGTAATAGAGAAGTGGGCTTTAACGCTAAGAAAGAACAACAGTACGCTTTGCTTGAGGGTTTTATTGTGATTATTTATTATAGAGGAGATGGTTTTTATTCACATGTTGACAAGGTCAAACACTTCAGGGCTCATATGAGTTAAGTTTGCTTTTCATATTTAAGGATTTGTGTCTACAAAGTCTGTTGGCTTCCATCCAAAATCACTGTAGTAGGCTACCTTTGCAGATGTGCGCTATTTGTTATGACTTCTGATAGTTTGCATTAAATTTACCACAAATGCACTAAACTGCGCCTTTTTTTTGACTGAACCAACAGAGTCTAGTAGATTAACATTCAAAAGAGGATCCTTAAGATGGCTAAAGCAAGGCTAGGAAAGAAAGATTCCCAAAAAAAAGTTGTTGCTCATATTTTTTTCACACACCTTCTCCTTGAATCAATTTTTTGTGTAACATATTGATGTTTAATGAAAAAAGTTATAGAAGCTACTTTAATTTCAGCACAAACCACTAAAGTGTGGCATTGTTTTTGGACTTGGATCATATTACAAACAAGGTTTTTGAATGTTTGTACTTAAAAAATAACTTTTATCAATGACTGTTTTTCTCACTGACAAATATGTTTTCACGTGTATTGATGAAACAAAGAAAGCAGAACATTCTCTGTAAAAAAGAAAAAGAAAAAAAAAGAAGAAGAACAAATAAAGAGGGCCATAAAGAAATCTCTGTATAATAATCCAGTTCTGGTTTGATCACTCTCAGTATTTTAGATCATCAATTGGAGATTTTCAAAGGCAATCTTGATTTAAATATAAGAAAATAAATAAATAAAACAGCCTTTATTTTATATCTGAATAATGAGCTTTAATTAAGTATAATGAGTTAAGACTGCATTTTCTTTCTTAACTCCTCACACCTATGTGTCCCTCTATGTAATGCCGTTCTTGGAAATGAGCTATCGCCTCCTTACATAGAAAAAATACAAATGTTTCAAACTTGTTTCTACAATATGTAGGGAGAAACTGCAGCACACCACAAAGTGCGAGGAGAGCAGCGGAGCTCCAGGGAGGAAAGGTGGGGAGGAAAACATGGTCCCACAATTCATTTTGCTAGATTGAGTTCATTTTTGAAGCAGTGAGGGGTGGGGTGGAGAGGGGTCCTCTAAACTGTCTTTGATCTCCATGCAGAGACAGAGCTGTGCTTCTGTAGAGGGCAGGCCTCTGAAAGCATTGGTTCGCTGTTGCATCACCACTAGTTACAGCCACCGCAGATTATATCATCCAAGTCTTTTTGATGCGTTCCGTATAAGTGCGTCCTGCGTGCGTGTGGAGTATCTGTCTGGGATTGAGGAGCTGCAGTGGATGGTGGGGTTCAAAGCGACTGGGACCTCTTGGTAAAGGGCAGCCAATCAACTGCTGATCAGAAGTCAAGTGGGCAGTGGCTACAGACTGCGAAATGAAGAGATGTGCAGCAGGAGGAAGGATGAGTCCATTGATGGATGGATGGATGGATGGATGGATGGATGGATGGATGGATGGATGGATGGATGGATGGATGGATGGATGGATGGATGGATGGATGGATGGATGGATGGATTCCCATTAGTTTTCCAGGTCCATGTCCCTGCAAGACCAGAGCAGAGTAGAAATGAGAGCTCACATTATTCCACATTCAGAGAGGCTCTCTCTGCAGTGTGCTGCACAGCCAACTCTGCTCCTGCACTCCTCATCCTCACACCCTTCAAAAGTAGCTACGCAAAGACAGAGCTAACCAGGGAGCGGACGTGCCACAACTGCTCCTATACTCTCCATGTTGTCTCTCTCTTATGATAACAAACAAAACAGCCATAAATATTCTCTGACAGCAACATGAGAAGCATGATGAGCAGTTTTGCACTCCTCTGCGTTACATAACATATCTCTCCTCCCTTCTCTCCTCTCTCTCTCTCTCTCTTGGTCTCCCTCTCTCTCCCTCTTGCACTGTTTTTTTTTTACACTCTAGCTCCCATTTTCCTTCTTTGCCATGGAGCTTTATGCTTTGGAAGTGGCTCATTTGTGAGCATGAAAAGTTGGTTTGTCCTGTAATAAACTAAAACGTGAGCTCTGACCTTTTCCCAACAGAGGAACAGCGTTATTAAAAAGAACTGGGGGTGGGGGGGCAGTCTGCAGATATGATGCATTGCTTTCTTCTTAAATTAGCTGCAAGCTCTATCCCTCTATGATGATAAAAACAGAGTTATTGCGTCGGTGCAACCTAACATCATTCCCCTCGGTTTATCTATCCTATAGTGTAGCTGTTCCTTTGTGAGAAACAGGTCATAATCTAATGACTGACTGTCTAAGACTTAAAACCATGTAAAGTTTGCACACCACTAAATCCAAGCCTTAGAAATAACTGATAAAAGACATTTGCCATGAAAACGTGGTTGCTTTCAGAAGAGTAAAAGCAGTCAGAAGAAAGAGGTGCTAATAGTTCTGATTGGATTGATCATAGAGAAGTGTTCTTAGATGTTTAACTTTTCCTCAAGTCACATACTATCCACTCATTTCAATGTATTTTGTTGGATATGATTATGTGAAACACAGAGTTTTGGTTTAGATTTAAAACATTACGCCCATCTGTTTTGTATATCTGTTTTTTCCTCACAGAATCATAGCTTTCTATCTCCAGCAGTAGTTGGGACAGATCACCAGAGTAAAGCAAAAACACAGAGATAAACAAAAATACACTTAAGTTGAATTAATATGCAGGGTTTGAGGTTCCGTCTCTGTCCAGAAATACTCTGAGGAATGTTATTCAAAGACCTTCCTACTAAGCATTAAAAGAGAAGGTGGCAGCATCATGCTGTGGGGATGGAAAGGTACATAAGTTTGAGTACAGGAAATTCCTGGAAAATATGGCAGCACAACTCGAGACTGAAGTGGAGGTCCATCCTAGCCGGACGTAGTCCTACTCAATTCTAGTCAGAATATGAGTCTGATACTGCTCCATAGAGCTGTGATTATGGGGCGTGTTTCGAACGAACCAGGAAAAAAAATGCCTCTGCACTCAATTGGATAGACCTACAACCAATAAGAGCAACGGAGTGCGTGACGTATGTTAAAGGAATAGTACACCCAAAACATGATTAGCCTTCATTTTCTACTCACCCCCATGCTGAACAACACTCTGGAGTACTTTTTTGATTTCTCAAATGCATCTGGAGATCTGGGAGGCTTCTTGCTGTCTGCTGACATTCAAATAATGGAGGTCTACGGCGCCCGAGACAGAAAGGTCCATAAAAGTCCACAAAAAACGTGTCAATATTCCTCCATACTGCTCGTCCAATGTATTCCAAGTGTCCTGAGTGGCTAGCGTCCATAATTTACTCGAAACGAAGTCATTTAGAATGTTTTTAGAACATAAACAGTAGTGTATAGGATTTCCTAAAAGCGCGTTCACGAGTCTACGGAAACCGCGGCAGACCAAACCAGACGAAAGTGCGCATTCAGCTCGGCAAAGAACTCATGCTCTTCCTCAACACTGAAGTCCTCAGACATTTTTTTCTGCTGTTTTTTCAGGTAAACAGCACATTTCTTCTTCTACGCTTGCATTATCGGCAGAGCAGACGCTGAATGCGTCTGCCTCAGGACACTTGGAATACATTGGACGAGCAGTATGGAGGAATATTGACACGTTTTTGTGGACTTTTATGGACCTTTCTGCCTTTTTTTTTTTTTTTTTTGGGTGTACTATTCCTTTAAGCGACGCATAGTTGTTGTCAACAAAAATCAAAGCGTGCAGTTCTACGCCTAGAATAAGAAGATGAGCGTGAACGATTTTTGCCGATGTTGCAAAAAGAACCTGAGGATACAAGGAGTCATTCAACACACGAACCTCATTTTTAAGAAAAACAGTAAAGGCGAATGCACATACGATCAAGTTCTCCGTTTAGGATTACAACAAAACGTCAAATAAATCGCATCGCATTTGTCGGTCCTGTCAGAACGTTATAACACGGTTGGAATGCGACATGCTTGTGTTAAAAAAATGGGCAGACAACGAAGGAGACCAGCTGGAAGAACAGAACTACTAGCAGAATCTACACACCTCAACTCTCCAGCGGCAGCCATTGTTGTTGTCACCCATGTGCGCTTTGGTGACGTGGTTGATTACGTTATGTTGATCATCTGTCCATCATCGTATAAAGCCCGCCCTGACAATTTGATTGGCCCGCCAGATATTGGGCGAGCATACTTGCGCTACTATTGCGCAATGCCAGACCGAACTTCCCGACCTCAAACGTTGTGGGCGGGACTAAGTTTGGAATGGCACCCAGGCTTGGTCCATCCTACAGCAGGAAAATTATTCTAAATATGCAGCTGTTCACATAAAATGTAAGAAAAATCCAGTCAAAGTCCAAATCTATGAACTTTACAATCTGGTTCCACATTGAAGATGACTCTTCACAGATGCTCCCCCAAAAATTTGACTAAGTTTGAAGTATGTTACAGAGAATAATGTGCAAAAAATGGGACATTTTTATGATTTTGTTGGATATTGGATATTGAGCATCTTAATCATCAGCTTCTCCCTATGATCCTGCTCCTTCTCCATATCTTAAAGAGGCTTTCCTCTGCATTGGACGGGTCATCTTTGCTATTATAAACAGCAGTTTATTATGTTGTCCCTGTTCATTTTAAGCATCTGTCTTAGCAAACTTCAGGCTTATTTCAAAGCCACCTTTTATTTCTGTTTTAGAAAAAGTTCTCCTTTTCCAGGTCGAGTCTTTTTTAGATGAACATGTAAAGATCAAGAAATGTTTTTTCAGCCATGTTTTACAATGTATTACTATACAGAGCCTGTTGTATTGAGACATCTTAGTGGCATATTCAGGGTAAATGACTGTGATTATGTTCTGGTTTTTCTTGAACTAACCGCTGCTTTTGCTACTGTAGACCATAATATTTCTATTATCTCATTTACAGACCCACCTTGGTTTTTAGTTGTGCTACATTAAAAGGTTTAGGTCTTATATGTCAAACAGCAGCATCTCTGTAAACTAACTAATTTACAGGGTTCCGCAGGGCTCAGTCCTCGCTACCCTGCTTTTTTTTTCTCTTCACTTGCTTCCTCTAGGGTCAATGTTCATAAACTGACAGTCAGATATACAGAACATGTCAATAATAAAAAGGAGCCTTTTTGATTAAGCACATATCACTGTGCCTTTAAGAAGAAAAGCATTGATAGGTTTTAACTCTAAATGACAAGAGAAGAAAGGTCATGATATTTTGTCCCTTCAGTTCCTATGAACCATCACCTGTTTATTTCGGCCTCTTGGCACCTCACTTGAAGCAAACCTCTGCTAATTTGGGCTTTAAAATGGATAGTGGTAAAGTCCAGCTAGCAAGGATGAAGCAGATTTTTTTAAATCAGCAATTCGAAGCAGTAATTGCATTTTTACCACTTGACTTGATTACTGTAATGCTCTCTACATCTGACTCAGGCAGTCCTCTATCAAGCGTTTCCATTTGGTTCAGAAACTTGCTGCTCGCTTTTTATCTGAGTTAGGAAGTGGGAGCGCATCACTCTTAAACTAGCTTCCCTTCAATAGCTTCTCGTGGATTTATGTGTTCATTTTAAGATTCTTTAATATGCTTTTAAAAGCTCACATGGTCTTGCTCCACTGTAACTCACTGAGCTCTTTCACGTACTTTCCTGCTTGTTTGCTCAGGTCAGCTCATCAGCTGCTCTTGGATGTGCTGAGCTATAAATTTAAGCTCAGAGGAGATAAAGTTTTTACTATTGCCACAATAAAGTTATGGATTATTTGCCATTGCCAAGGGCTGTGAAATTAATCAATAAAATCTAATATCAAATATAATTTTATATATTCAATTTATGACGATTTATTTATTTGGAAAATCTGGATTTTTTTTCCCCACCTATGCAGTTCTTGGGCTTCCATAGCTTATGGTGAAATCTCCTCATCACCTTTTTGTTCTTAGATGTTTACCTTCCTTAGAGGTCACCTCCACAAGGGGATTATTGACATAAAAGCTTGTTTTTGAAAGTCTGTTTTTCATTAGTCATTTTTAATATGAAACCCTGATTAATCTAATTTAGTGGGGGGAAAAATGGATATTAGATTTTCAACCCATATTACCCAGCCCTATTGTTGCATTCTAGAATGGCCGATTACTATCCTTTTTTATTCCTTTACATGTTTTTACTGTAATCTTTTGCTTTTCCATATTTTGGAAAGTTTATTAGTGTCTGTGAAACACTTTCTCACATCTGCTGTTGTTTTATATAATTACTGCTTGATTTATAAATTATATTTATATATCAAGCAGTAATAGTAGTAGAAATAGTTGTAAAAATGTCTTTGCTTGTATTTCCAGTGTAGTAGAGTATAAATAATGGATTCAGAGTGGTTTAATAGCGATGTATACCACACTTTTTACAACTGTATTTCTAAAAGGTTTGAATTCATGCATGATTTCCCTTGTACTTCCCAACATCTTTTCTTTGTGATGTAAAACACAAAAAAATATGAAGTTCTTGGAAAAGAAGCGAAAAATGTGAAAAATTTAGAAAGGGTCGTAATGTACAATAATTTAATAATTACTGAAAGAGGGAACTAAGAGCGCTACAAAATAATCAGTGCATAAGCGTAATGTTAGAATTTGAGGTTTGAGGAGGAGCCAGGTGCAGACAGGAACATGGCAGCAGCATGGTGAGTTAAATAACATGAATAACGATGGAGACAAAAACTTACAGGGTAGCATGAAGGAATTGGGACATGGACAGAGCCTCAGTTAGAACAAGGAAAAACAGGCACTGTAACAGCAGGATCTGGTGGATCAGTGAGCGACAGAGAGCTTATATGCTGAGGGATGTGTGGAGAATGGCAGGAGGCTAGCAGGGAGGGATACTAACATACACTCACCGGCCACTTTATTAGGTACACCTGTCCAACTGCTCATTAACACTTAATTTCTAAGCAGCCAATCACATGGCAGCAACTCAGTGCATTTAGGCATGTAGACATGGTCAAGACAATGTCCTACAGTTCAAACTGAGCATCAGTATGGGGAAGAAAGGTGATTTGAGTGACTTTGAACGTGGCATGATTGTTGGTGCCAGAAGGGCTGGTCTGAGTATTTCAGAAACTGCTGATCTACTGGGATTTTTACACACAACCATCTCTAGGGTTTACAGAGAATGGTCCGAAAAAGAAAAAACATCCAGTGAGCAGCAGTTCTGTGGGCGGAAATGCCTTGTTGATGCCACAGGTCAGAGGAGAATGGCCAGACTGGTTCGAGCTGATAGAAGGGCAACAGTGACTCAAATAACCACCCGTTACAACCAAGGTGGGCAGAAGAGCATCTCTGAACACACAGTACGTCGAACTTTGAGGCAGATGGGCTACAGCAGCAGAAGACCACACCGGGTGCCACTCCTTTCAGCTAAAAACAGGAAACTGAGGCTACAATTTGCACAAGCTCATCGAAATTGGACAATAGAAGATTGGAAAAACGTTGTCTGGTCTGATGACTCTCGATTTCTGCTGCGACATTCGGATGGTAGGGTCAGAATTTGGCGTCTACAACATGAAAGCATGGATCCATCCTGCCTTGTATCAACGGTTCAGGCTGGTGGTGGTGGTGGTGTCATGGTGTGGGGAATATTTTCTTGGCACTCTTTGGGCCCCTTTGTACTAATTGAGCATCGTTGCAATGCCACAGCCTACCTGAGTATTGTTGCTGACCATGTCCATCCCTTTATGACCACAATGTTCCCAACTTCTGATGGTTACTTTCAGCAGGATAATGCGCCATGTCATAAAGCTGGAATCATCTCAGACTGGTTTCTTGAACATGACAATGAGTTCACTGTACTCAAATGGCCTCCACAGTCACCAGATCTCAATCCAATAGAGCATCTTTGGGATGTGGTGGAACGGGAGATTCGCATCATGGATGTGCAGCCCACAAATCTGCGGCAACTGTGCGATGCCATCATGTCAATATGGACCAAACTCCCTGAGGAATGCTTCCATCACCTTGTTGAATCGATGCCACGAAGAATTGAGGCAGTTCTGAAGGCAAAAGGGGGTCCAACCCGTTACTAGCATGGGGTACCTAATAAAGTGGCCGGTGAGTGTATAGAGGAATACTAAAGAAGCACTAAGACATTATGAAACACTTAGGAAAATGAGATTAAAATGCACTGGAGAAAAGGACAAATTCTAACCTAAGGGAATAAATTAGAATACACAGAAAAGGAACAAACCATGAAACAAAGCACAAGATAAAAAAGGCAAGTAGATGATGAGGACACAAAACCTTACACCCAATGGCATTGCATTGTAAATACATTTCTAAGTCCTAACTTCTTCAGCCAAATCAAATGAAAAACATAATTTTAGGAATCCATTTTGTGTGGGTTGTGTTTTGTGTTTTTCCCTCCACCACCATTTGGTGCCCGGTCCTCGTTGGTCCTCCTCCACACCTGCGGCTGGTTGGCCCCTCACTGAGGACTATTTGAGCAGTGAACTGTCACTACCTCGACGCCAGAGTGTTTGCCAGTTTTGGGTACTCTAGCCAAGCTGAGATTAGCTGAGTCTGACTGAGTCTTTGTTTCTCTGAGTTCTAACTGTGTTTTTGTCTTTACCTTTGGTAGGAAGCCATCCTGCAAGTTGGATGTTTTTGGCCTTCTTCCCCTGAAAGGATTGTTTGAGTCTCACACTGAGCAGGGGATTAAACTCCACAAGTTCCGTTCAAGACCTCCTTGATTCCAAGTGACAGTCCTCTCCTTAGTGTCTCAGGAACCAACCAAATAAAAACCTGTCCGCCCTCCAACGAGTTCCTCCCTCTGGTTAACCCACTCAAGACTGGATTCTGGGAAGAAGGTTTTCTCCACTAACGTGAGTCCCGTTTTCTATGTTTCGCCAAAGTCATCGTTCAAAGTTCCCACAGACCCTTAACTAACCTCTGATACCTCCCTTCCCACTTCCAGTTCCGGTTCACCAGTTCCCTGAGTTTCCTGAATCCAACCCCGTTCATCTCCTCAATAAATCTGTTAAACTTTTACCCTGGTTTATTTGAGTAGTTTATCATGACACATACGTTTCAACAGTAAAGATAAAAATTGTATAACCATTAAAAAAGCCAAACTCACGTTGCCCACTCCATGGTCTCTTTGGTCAGGTAGATGTACCAGTACCCGAGGTTAAAAAGGGCAAATGTCAGGGGAAATAGGATGCGGGCGTAGCGGTCAATCGGGCTTGTACCAGCAAGCTGAGGGATTTGAGGAAAAGCTGAACCCTGCTGGAGGAAAATTGGGACTGGGGTAACATCTCCAGGCTCACTGCAGCTCAGTGAGTGGTTTCTCCGCTTCAGGCCTTCTCGAAAGCTGCTGCTGTCCGTCTGAGTGAAGAGAGGGAGGGGGGGGGGATTAAATAGAAGAAATGTGGACTTTATGATGATATACAATAGAAAACAGTAAAAAGAAATACCCTTTATACTTGACAAGAGTTGAATTCTCATGGTTGAAATTATGTTAATAATATTCAAGCATCTCTATAGAGCACAGCAGGTAGTTTTCTTGAAATTCATAGGCTGGTTTTAAATTACATCAGGTGCATTTGGATTTAGTCTCTGTTCTCACACTGAAGCTATTTTTATAACATCCAACCATGAGCTTTACATGTGAGGCAGGTCCCGGGAGGATGCTCTGGTGGCTTAATGTATTAGCATAAAACATACGGCTCAACATGGGGTTCCAGGTAATCTGGGAATACACAGAAATACTAATATGTTTGCTGATTCCTTTTCAGAGCAACTTTAACAGCATTTTGTGCCATAAAAACTCATAGATTTGTCTCACTACAAATGTTCCTTTAAATTAATCTGGATAAAATACTTTGCTTCTTTGCTTCCTTTTTCAAATTTTTCCTTTTCTAATTTTCAAATTTCAATTTAAAGATAAATTATGTAAGTTTTTACTTAAAATGTCTTTAAAATAGCCTGTTGATTTGACTCTTATGATGTATCTATAATCTTAAACGTACTTCGGGTCGGAAGTTCCCGCGTTGTTTGCAGATGTGACGTTAAATGGGTCCATCCTATTAAACAATCAAAGCTTTATATTCAAGATGGATTTGGTGGATATTCAGAGGTGACTGACATCCAGCTCAACTCAGACACCGGTGGCAACTCCTCAAAAGGTGGAAATGTGGAGGCTCATTGGTAGAATCCAGAAATAAGGACACTTGAAAACGATTCACACTATTTTGTCCTCCGGAGGGGGAAACATTTCTTGACAATTTAAATTCCTACAGCTGTCTTAAAGACTTCATAAGTTGAGCGCTACATCCTCAGACATCTCACTTTTCGGTGTGCTAGGGTTCAAACACCCTGTCTACTGTATTTTCCGTTTGTGTGTTACTAATTATGTATTAGACCTTGAAATATTTTTACACAGTGTGAAAATTATATAGCACCGTCAGAAAACAAAAACAAAAAAAACACTTTCAAGTACAAGCACGAGCTGCGAGAAGGAGCAGAAGAGTGCTGCAGTTCTGTGTTTTGGCCACAGGTGGCACTATCATTAGGAGACTCCGTAATGCTTCTTTAAATTATCAAGGGATAACAGCTAGTCATTAAAATAAAATCACACCTTGGTTAGATTGGAATTAAGCTGTGAGTCACAACATTTTGGAAAACTTTAATTGAAATTGACCCATTTCCCTGCTTCACCTGTAGAATCGTAAATTCCCTTTGAATTTATAGAGGACAATCTTTTAATTCTGAGTGGATCATCTAAATAAGTGGTCCTCCTAATTGTCATTTATTCTGCTGATATGTTTACTTAAGGCCGTCCTACATGCTCGCACTTTAGGCGTATATCTGTAGTAAGCTATGGGTCTAGTTGCTCATTGAAGCTCACCTTGTTCAGCACAGTTTTGTGAAAATGGTCAAGTTTCGTAAGAGAAAAAGTGTCAACGAAGTGTATGAGAAGAAAAGTAAGGCCTCAGAAGAGGCAGCTATATCCCAGAATGCTTTGTGCGGAGAGCTCTCCTCGCAAAGCATTCTGGGATCTGCTGTCAAAGCGGCCCGCTGTCGCCATTGGCTGTCACCACCATTTTTTTTAATTGAAATCGAAAGGTTGGGTCTTTTTAAAAAGATTGCAAACATTTTCCACAATACCTTTAAGCCCCTGGATTTTCCCTTAAGAGACTTTCATTTTGGTTTCAAAATTTCTTTTATGAGCCATTCACAGGTACATTTTTTGGTATAAAGAACAATAGAGCCTAAGGTGATGAGCTGATGAAATGACCTCTGAATTGAATTCATCACCTCCAGCCACTATATTCTTGAGTTTTTCCTCCTGCGCTGCTACATGTATGCATATTTTGCACCTAAACACCTTCATCTCTGGGACACAGTAGTGGTTTCCCTGCTGAACATTATGATGGCTGGAAAGTCCTGTGTTATTTGTTTTTCTAGATAAATGTGGCTCCCGAACGTCGCACCCTGAGATGACCCAGACCACCTGGAGGTCCTGGTCTGATATCCTGCCTGAGTTCCTGTGCTTTCATGATGTCACAAAAGGAAATAATGTATTTAGGTCCTTTCAGGAAAATCCAATGCATATTGCATGTGATGCACATGTACCACATGTGAAATTGACATGTGGTACACATGTTAAAGTACATGTATACTTGTGGATTTTAAATTTTATGCTAAAAGCACTTTTGATTAATATTGTTTCACATGTAATTTCCAAGTTTTTACATTCGATATACACGGGCCTTAAATGTGAATCACATACACTTTAAATGGGAATCACAGTTTAGCACATGTGTATCACATGTACTTGTATCTTTTAAAATGTAAATCCGATGTTTCTCACATTTGAAGCACAATTGCCTCAAATGCCTAACACGTGTTCTTAAAAATAAGAATCCCATGTGAAAAGATGCGTATCACATGTGATTCATGTGTCTTATAGTAATTAGTATAAGTATAGTAAAAGCACTTTAAATTGGAATCACAGTTTAGCACATGTGTATAATATTTAATACACATCATTTCACATGTAATTCCAATGTTTTTCACTTTTAATACACATGGGACTTAAGTGTGAATCTCATGTGCTTTAATTGGGAGTCACATTAAAACGTGTATCATATGTGATTCAACTGTTTCGACATGTGTACCACATGCTAAACTTATATGTGGTACATGGGTTTCACTTTTGATTTCAGATGTGACATTTAGAGGGTTTTTCTTTCAGGGATTAAAAACGATAAAACATACATACTAATATTGTGACTTTTGACAAATGTAAAAGGAATTACAAAGAGCACAACCTAATGACATTCACATGGGAAAGAAAATCTTGATATGTGTTGCATATGTGAGAAATGGGGCAGTGTTGGCCTGGTGATTAGAGCTGTGCACTTGTTCTCTGAGAAGTACCCGGTTCGATTCCCACAGTCTGCACTCTGGGTTCCTGAGCAAGACCCTTAACTCCACACTGCTCCCCGGGCACCACACAGTGGCAGCCCGCTGCTCCCCAAGGGGATGGGTTAAATACAGGGATAAATTTCTCCTATGTGAGATCAATAAAAGTTAAATTACTAAATTGTGTTCGATCACAAGTTCCACACTTCCCCAAATGTTTGCTGGAAAATGTAATGCATGACCAAATCTTCATGACCATGTATGGAATATGTGACCCACAAATTAATGGCGTTTATTAATATAGTATGTACAATGCTTGATCATCCAGTTAAATTTGATATTTTGAACCAGAAACATTCAAAGCCACGATATCACTCCAGCTTTCCTGATTTGTTTCAAGGCTTTATAATCTTAGTGAATTTAAATTATTATGATTAAAAAAAAATATTTCTCCCATCATCTGGTATTAAGCAAAGAGCAATAATAACACAAGTCATCTTTATGGACACTAACACTGAAAAAAAAAAATCTGATTTACCATCAACAAGAGAGAAAATAATATCAGGTGTTTTTTTAAACAATCTATCTATGTGTATTATTTAACTGCTAAAAAGTATGCCTCGACTGATGACAGTAGAGATGTTGGATTTCTGCTGCTTTTGCTTTGTTCAGACTTTTGGAATACCCTTCTACAAGATATCTGCTGCTTTTATGCTTGACTGAAAACAAAACAAAGTCACCCATTCGTCAAAGTCATGAAATCCCACTACTCACAGAAAGGGTGTCATCATCGTCACTGCCAGTGGCCAGCACCTCCAGCCTGTCTTGTCTGGCTCTCTGCTTCTTCAGGCGGTTTGCCTGCAAGCTGGCAAAGTAGTTCACTGCTGCAAACTCAACCAGGGCAGAGGCCACAAAGGCAAAACATACAGCGATAAACCAATCCATGGCTGTGGCATATGCAACTTTGGGCAAAGACTGCCGAGCACTAATACTCAAGGTGGTCATCGTCAGCACCGTGGTGGCGCCTAAAGGAGAGGCAAATATTTGTTAATCAAGCATGCATGAAAATGTATTAGCCACAGTGATTAGCAGACATTAGTTGCATAATGATGGCGGGCGGGGTGCCTACCAGCAACTGTACGCGCTGGAACAGATTCCTTGTTGATCCAGAATGAAACTTGGGACAGTACAACCACCATGATGAGGGGGATATAGGTCTGTATGAGGTAGTAACCAAGCTTTCTCTGGAGAAGAAAATGGACCACCTGCACAGAATAATGACCTGGAAGATAAGCAGCACATGTGAAATAAGTAACAGAGCAAAGTAGCTGGATGTTCATTAAAATATAACAGTGGTTGACAGAAAACAGGAAACTCTGTTCTTTTATTGCAAAAATGCAACTTCTGGACACTAAACACCTGCTGTATAACATGTTTATGCATAAAATTACATAATTATGCAACGTTACCCGTGTTTGACTTCATGATCTCACTGGACAAGTTCTGCCCGACCAGATCGTACTGCAGAAGACTCATTGACTCTTTGGGACACTCCACAGAAGCTGTTAGACCCTTCCTCCAGGTGAAGATAATTTCACTGTTGGTATATGCATCTGACAGAAAGATAAACTGATTATCAAGTTTAAAACAGTGGAGAATGAATGATGTTGGCTCTTTTTTAAAACAGCTGCTTTACTCACAGCTTCCAAACCTGAGAGGACAGGCGTGGCCATCCATGGGGAAGTCCATCAGCCTCATTGGACACTCTGCACTGATTGTTAGTCTAAAAGCAGAATGAAAGCTCGATAAATAATACATCCTTTATGGTTCTCCATTAAAACAGATCATTTAAAAGACCAGGAAAACAAAGCAACACCTCATGGTGTAAAGGACGGTCCCATTCTGCATTATGCGAAAGAGCTTGTTGGGTGTGGTCATGTTATGGGAAATAGACTTCTTTGAATTTCTAAAGAAGGTGTCTGGCGTCCATATCTTGTCCACCATGCGGTTGTTTAGACGTAAGATTTCAATGGGGCCCTCAAACTTTAGCCGTTCATCCACCCACATCTGACGGAAGAACATGTCCATGGTGTATTCCTGAACAAAAAACATATCATGTTAGTAGAAGGAAAATAAATGTTTTTATTGATCCCTAAACCATGGATTTAATCTCAAATGTTACTGTTTACCACCGGAGAGAGCTTTCAATATTCACTGGAAGGTAAGTGGAGAGAATGAGCGATGATTGATGCCACTCATCCCATATAATCATGAATCAATCCATTCGGCCATTCCCACTGTCTGACATGTTGTCATATTGATTTCAAGGCCATCAATAATGGAGTTATGGGGCTAGTCAGACAAATTAAAGCTCATTAGATGATCACATGGCAGATGGTCACTGAGGCATTGTGATCCTTCACAGTCAGCACATATTCAGAACTGTGCAGACATCTTGTGCCAATGTTCATTTATTCATATTTTGCTTTAGGGAAAACAATCTTCCTGGTGATCTTTAAAAAAAAAAAAAGATTTTTTTTTCAGTTTCTGAAGTTCTTTTACATTTTCTCTTGGTACTTTAGGCAGTTTTCTTATTTTGTTTTATTACAGAGCCTGAGCATTTTTAGAGGATAATTTTTTACCCAATGTAACTCTTAACTAACTAAAATTACTAAAAAAAATCTGTCTACAAAAGATATAGCTTCTATTAAACATTTAAATGTGTGCTTATATTTGAAAAATAGGATTAATGGCATCAATCTACCAAGGACCTAAAGTTTTGGTTTATACAACTCAATCTCAATTGTTGGACGTAATGATACTGATTGTGTCCTCTACTTGAATTATTAGAACATAAATATAAAAAATACACTACTCTGCAGAAGTTTTTCTTTAATTGTGATCATCTTTTTTCTGAAAGTCCTACCAACCTGTGTATGTGCTCAGGGACAAGAGCTGTCCTTAAAATAACCTTAAAAGGTCAAAAAATAGAATTCAAACATTTTTTTAAACCCTCAGAAACTTTGAATAACTGTTGATTAACACCCCTTTAAATACTACAGGTAAGTCTGGAATACTTTACAACTAGCATGAAAGAAAAATGACAGGACACATTTTTAGGACATCTTACCATCTCAACATCTGAAACAGGCCCAAAGCTGGTAACAAAGATGTCGGTTTTCACCTCTGTAATACCACCTGTAGCAATGAGTGACAAAATAACAACATTGTGCATAAAAAGGCTTGGCACAGTAGCTGTGGTGTATATTTTATCTTTAAGACTTTGAAAAAAGAGAATATTGTAACTACCTCCTGAACCAGGTCGCAGTCTATTATCATAACCATCCAAAAGTCTATCCAAAATGCGAGTGATGTTGTCTGAATACACCTTCTCCCCTCCTTGTGCATTACCTAGACTGAAACGACATGTATATCATGACATTTCAAGGCCTAAAACACATTTATATTCAGAAACAAGACTCACCCAATTGAGCAGATTAGGACAACCACAGTTAAAAGGGCAGCAGCCATCTTTTAAAAAACAGTTATCAGCTTAACTTCTATCCAAAAATGATAATGTATTTAAAACAGCGTTTCCTTGTGGTCGTTAAAGCGACTGCTTAAGAATAGTTGGCACTTAGGCAGGAACAGTAATCTAATTAACAGATTAGGGAATCCACTCCAATTTTAGACAGTCTATGTATTCACTATAATACTGTTGAGAGTAAATTATAGCATACTTCAAACAAAATATACAAAAATAGACAAATAATCTGAAGTGAACATAAAATGGTGTGGTTAGAGTGTTGTTGCTTTTTTTTTTTTTTTTTTTTTTTTTATGGTGTATCAAGAAACATGAACCTATTTCCTGTAATTCCTGCTGTTAAACAGCAGGTGGTGCTACAGGAGGAAATAAGGCTAGGCTCAACCGGAAACAGAAACCGAAGAAGATGTGAAAGTTTGTTGTCATTCCGGATAAATCGAGCCGCTGGGTGAGCATCTTAAACCTGCTAGTAACTGTTAACCAGTTTAAGGAGGGTGGAGGCAGCAGCATGTCGGTTCACTTTGAGGAGAGGAGCGGGGTTGTCCCCTGTAAGACACCGTGGGGGTCCTGGTACCAGACCATGGAGGAGGTCTTCATCGAGGTCCATGTGCCTCCTGGGACTTCAGCTAAAGAGGTGAAGTGTCGCTTAGGAAGCAGGGATATCGAGCTGCAGGTCAGAGGGAAGGAGGTATTTAAGGTAAGCTGCGAAATTTAAACACATAGAAATGACACAGAGGGAGTTAAAACGAGTTAAACGACAAGAAATAAGCATTTTAAAATGATGAAAGGAGGAAAATGCTTTAAGAAAAACATATAACTGGAGAAATAGCTCTTTAAATTTTATTTTTGGACAGTGCACCTCTTGATATTTTATCTAGTCTATAGACAGGTGTCAGTAAAAGTAAAAAAAAAAAAAGTGACTGTAGACCTCCTCCCCAGGCAGTTATAAAGAAATTCCAATATCAGGCAGTGAAACTTGTATATTATAGATTTATTACACATACATTTTTATAATTTAAGCCTCAATTTCTTTAAATTCTGATCAATATAGCTTATATAAGTATTCAGGGTATAAAAATATTAATATTATGGGAAAAGGTAACAGCATACTAACAAGTTGAAAGAAAATGTTAAGTTTGCATTTTATTCTGAAATCAAGAGAATCAGTGTGAGTCCAGTGTGAACTTTCCACAGTCAGTGATAATTATTAGACTTAGACTTCCTTTATTGTCATTACACAAAAAACAGGGTGAATCTTTACAACGAAATGTCGATTACTTGGCTACCAGTGTAACAGCGCTAAGACCTTATTCCTGCACAATAAATATGTTTTCTATAACTAAGAGCTAAGAGCTAGCTATATACAGGGTAAAGAAGTATATATAGATACATAAATATTGCACTGAGTTATTGCTAAAAGAAACATTGAATTGAAGACAAAACTAAACTAAGGTGCGTGTATTGTGAGAGGCCAGGTCAATCCAAGCATTATTAGAGGCATGATATATCTTTGTTAATTTTTTAAATATGATATATTATCAATATTCCTTTATTTATATAGTTTTCTCCCTTAGACCTATTCAGGCACATATGATTACATCCATTTACAACAGCAATTAGAGATTTAAAGTTTCCCCAAATTTTAGGACAAAATTCACAGAAGGTTCAAATAAATTAAATAAATTAAGGAACATTTCCTATTGACCCTTTCTCTAGTTCCTTTAATAAAACTCTGATTTCTCTAAGTGTGACCAGGCTGAACAGATTCAGCTGCTGCTGAACAAATACCAGTGACCACATTATCAACAAATACAAGGAGTGTTTTTTACTGTCTGTGATAAATCTAAGCGCTGACGGATGTGTTTATATTATACCTGCGTTCAGTACAAGGCGAAGTTCTGAAAGTTGACATTAAACAACGTCGAATTAAGCCTGCAAACGTTGGAAAGTGACAGTAGATCTCAGAATCATCAGCATAGAGATGCACAGCTGTATCTTTGAAACCCTGTTGCAGTGTGTTAATGTAGCTGGTAAACAGAGTTGGCCCTAAAATTGAGCCTTGAGGGACTCCTTTTGTAAAGTCAGAATTTTTTTATGTTAGATGTTTAAAAACAAAGCTGTAGTCTGATTTCTGAATCCAAAATCCAAAAGCCTTTGACACAATATATCATGATTAACTTTTAACTGAATTTGGTGTTTTTACTTTCTCTAATTCTTAATCATTGGAATTAAAAGACATAGAGGTGTAATTTATCTATGTAATATATAGTTTTTATTTTCTTCAAGGAGGAACAGAAAAAAAACTCAACATATTCTTAATTCTTTGGACTTTACTTATAACGTAAAATACAAAATAGTAAAGCTCGAGTGAGGCTTCACTTTTTCACTTTTCACAAACAAGTTTGCACTTTTGAGACAGTTTTGTTCACATCTCAAGTTTAAACTGTCTGATTTACAAGTTTGCACTTTGTGTTTAATATGACAGGAAAAAATAAAATACATGAGTGTTTTATTTAAACCCAGTTGAACCTCTTTCATTATTGTAAAAACAGATCGAATCGAAATTAATAGATTTAGAACTATATGAATCAAAATCAAATCGATTCAAGACTTTGCCGAAAATATGCAGCCCTACTGATAGAGTGTTGAGTGAAATCTGGTATCGACTCATTTTGTCTGCCAGAACAGATTCAGGAAAATATCTGTAAACAGCAAACAGTCTGGATCAACCTAAAACAAAAAAACGTAGTAAAAATACATTTGTGTATTTTTGTAAACGTTAACATTTTTCACTTTCTGATTCAAAATTGTAGTGATTTATTTAAACCAGCCTAACCTGCTGGAGTGATAAAAAATAATATATATATATATATATATATATATATATATATATATATATATATATATATATAAAAAAATGTGAGTACATTTCCTTCTATGTTCTGACAGGGACGGCTGTACGACACGACCGTGTCTGATGAGGCTACGTGGACGTTGGGTGAGAGGCGCACAACATTAAAAATGTTCTCAAGCTTATTTTTCAAAAACAAGACCTCCCCCACACCCCGTATCTATCCGGCCTGATTTATTTTACCTTTTTCCTTCAGAGGACAAATGTCTTATTCGGATCGTCCTGATGAAGACCAACAGAGAGGCGGGGAACTGCTGGTCCTCGCTGCTGGAGGGCGAGTACTGTGCGAACGCCTGGGTCCAGGACCAGATGCAGAGAAAGCTGACACTGGAGAGGTTCCAGAGAGAGGTCAGATAAAGACCCAAACACGGCACGCAGGATAGTTTAATACCAGATAGTTGATAGATGGTTGTTATGCGATATTTATTTCTTTAATTTATTCTATTTGTTTAGTTTTTTAGATAAACTTGTTTGAAATTTCACTGCGCAGAAGTTTCTTTACATATGATACAGTTCTTTAATCTTAGTGTGGATCAATCACATGGAATACCACCTAAAAGGCAGACAGAATGCAGTTTGAAGAACACTTCGTAAACTAACTGGACAACAGTTGAACAAGTGGATTCTTTTTGCATATTTTATAATGAATTGTAACTCGTTCTGAGTTTACTTATTTAAAAAAAACAAATTCTTGTGGTAGTGTGATTCTGACATTTTTTAGACCAAAGTAAAGACAGTGTTTCTTTAATTCAAATTTCAACTTGAATGCTTTAAAGGCATTAGACATTTAGATGTATACTCCAGTAACTCACTCTGGTTGCCAAAAACATTTTACGTCAAATAACGACATCCTGCTGACATGGAGTTCATGTTTTTTGAGCTTTTTTGCTCAAATTGTACCTAGATTCAACCTTCCTCTGGATATTCGTTATGTGACCAGGATACTTCAGCTTGCACACGTACAATTGGTCAAGACGAAGCAATATAGGCGAGCAAGATTGGAAATCAAAAGAAAAGTCTAAGATGAAATGCAGAAAGGTGAAATAAAATGTTCAATTCCAAGGTGGATAAAAACTTGCGCTGGAAAAAGTAACAATTGTAGGACAGCCTAACGCTGTAAAGCTGATAAGAGCTCACGTCCTTGCAAATAGTGCTATGGCTGTTACAAATGCTTTAGTCCTATCCTCCGAACTGTTGGTTTTCTATGAGGCATTACAGCACTGTCCGGCAGTTCAGCAGGGTCTATGCGAGGTCATAGCACTCTATGCTGGGGTTCTATTTAGGCTTAAAAAGGTTTATCAAAACCCTCAGGGTAGATGTTTGGACTATATAGGCTAATAGAGCCTTACTTTGTTTGGGTCTTTTTAGTAGACAGCATGGTTATGTACCTTTTTAATCAACTCTTGCCATCCCAAGAAACTGTATTTGACCCAGTTTTCTTCTGTCTAGAATCCTGGATTCGACTTCAGTGGCGCAGAGATTTCTGGAAACTTTGCTGGTGGGGGTCCAGACTTTTCCAGTTTACAAAAGTGACCGTCTCCTCCCTCAACTCACAGCAGTGGATAGAGAAGTTTCCTTGAGGAAAACGATGGAGTCTTTTCAAGACGGACATATTTACCACACTGCCTAGATGTTGTTGACCGTAGAGACTCTTCCACAGGAACTTGTTTTTCTGGACAACGCTGCTCTTTATACAAGACTAAAGGGACTATTTGTTGAAGCACTGTCGCTTGTAATGATGAGAACACACACAGGTCTAGCTTTTCAATAAATCTTTATTGAAAGGTGCACAAACATAAGTTCAGATGGTGTGTTTCTGTAACCGTTTTGAACTCTAAAACAGGTTTTATTTCTCACTAATAAAATGTACTACACTTAGAAACTGGTGCAGAAAATGCAAAACAAATTCCAACCTACATTTCCACTGCAGTGGTCACTTTATTCAACTAAAACCAATCGAGTAATAATGTGCAGGCTGGATTCGTCCACTGAACTCTGAATAAATGAAAACAGCTCGGTTTGTTGCTGCTGGTGACACTTCAGCTCACACAACACGGCTGGATGCAGGCGGCTGGATCGCCGCCAGATTCACTTTGCTGGTAAAACCAGACTTCCCTCGTCATTTATAAGAAACTAAAAATAAAAGTCATCACCTTGGGTAGGAGTGTGCATTCAGGACAGCTTAGCAACCTAGGGTGGGAGTTAAGGATTCTGGGCCCGATTTCTTGGTTCCATTTTTGCTAATCACAAAATCCTTCTCCCTCCTCTTCCACATGGTGGACTGAGGACCTAGGTGGTTCAATACTTTATTAGCTTAAAACCAGCAACCCATACAAAGACGTGTATGGATTCAAACAAGTACATACTGTACACCTGTGCAGGCAACTCAACCAGGAACATTTAACTTAACAGGATGGGGGAGATTTGGCTGTTTTGACAGAGCAGTATTCCTTGTTATTGGTAAAGAAAAAAAAAAGTTTCCTAAAAGTTTTTCTTTAAAGAAATCCATTATCAATAATGAAGATCTGTAAGGAAAATAAGGAGATGACCGAAGTGTGAGAATCTAAGGTCATCCCTCCACGAGTCAGCTTTCCATCAGCAGGCCGACTCGGGTATGGTAGGAAGATGAGTGATCTTGTAGTAGCTGTGCTTCAGCTGGCTCGCTGTTCTTCCTGAGATGATCCAGCGGAGCCTCTGGCTGTTTGGTCTTGAGCACTTGGTGTTGGCGTATTCGACCAGGCATTTCCTGACCAGCTCTCTAACGCACAGCAGGTCTCCATCTCTCACCTAAACCAGAAATCAGTGTGTAAGACAACTGCTGAAACATTATAGACAAATAACTAGCTCGGATTGTCACCAAACAAAACTCACATTCAGCAGCTGCTGCAGATTTTTCAGAGCCTCAGATATTTGGTTTGTGTGCTCAGGGTCGTGTTCTTCCTGGGCCTCAAAACACAGCAGAGCCAAAGCAAGGAGTGATGGCTGTAGAGAACAAAAAAAAAAGGGTTCTTTTAACAGGATGTCAACATGTTTTTATAAGTTAATAATGGGCATTTATGGAAGAGGTCAGTGTAGTGACCAGTGATTACGTTTGAGACAAAAAAACCCTGAGGGAATGACAAAAAAAAAAAAAAAAAAAAAAAAAAAAAAAAATCAAAATGGAGGAATGATTACAGCAGAAAAATTCATAGGGAAATCTCTAATTTTTTCATAATGATCTCATATGGAGAGATTTTTAATTCAAACTTCTTTTAATAGATTAAATTTTCATCCATTAATGTCCCGATGAAATAAAAAAAAAAAACATTTTTTAGACATTTCATGACTATTTTAATGTATGTTTTGTGACACCAATTTAATTCACCTTTCATATTTCTGAGACTTTTCATTTTTACACCATTTCATTTCAAGGTCTTTATCTGATGTTCTTGTATTTAAATAATGGGCAGTAGTTTTCTCTACTGAGAGGTTTGGAGAGTGAATCAAGTAGGAGTGAAAAGGATTTTACCCACAATCCACTAAACCTGACTGCGCCAAAGCCCCACCCCTTCAATTGAACATTGCTGAAACAAAAAGGAAATCCCAAAAACCAGAATAAAGAGGATTCAATTCCCGGATTGGAACAAAAATAAAAACTTCAAATACCCAAAAAATTAAAAGTGAAAGCATCATGACTTGGAGAACAAGGTGCTTCCTTCTGATCAGAGCTGAACTGACATTTGAAGAGGAGCGTATACACTTTACATTCACACCAAATCGCTTTCAATTTAGGCTTAGAACCTACCTTGAGTTTGGAGAAGATGAAGGAGCAGTGACAGGCTTTGAGCTGTGCCTCCAGCCTCTCAATGCTCAGTAACTCCCTGCTGTAGAAATAAAGAAGCATTACAATACAATAAAAAAAAAAACACAAAAAAAAATAACAGCATTTTTGTTCAAATTTAATTTTAATCATCTTTCCTAGAGTTAGAACAAACAGTGGACCTATGCTATTAAAGTTTTTTTCCTTAAAAGATTACAAAATTAGACCATAAAAGTTCAAAATGATATTAAGAGGACTTTTACACAGATTTGCTTATAGCGTTTATCGGATTTTTACTGAATTCAAAATGATTCAAAAATATATAAATTTCTTTAAATGCATTTAGCTCGCATTTGACTTGACAAAAAAAAAAAAAAAAAAAAAAAAAAAAAAGAGGTTTAATTCAATTCACCGTCCAGTCAAACTGTACTTCATTACACTACAAGGCATGTAAGCAGTCCTGTGCCCTCACCTCTCAACGTCGAGCTGCTCCTGGATGTGGCTGTGAAACAGGCGGAGAAAGTGCAGCGCCGTCGGGGCCTTCACCTTCCAGTACAGCTTCTCCATGATGATCTTCTCCATCCTCATCATATCAGACACTGTAAAGCGATTCTGACTGATGCGGATTAAATCGCTGGCCAGAGGCACATTCTTCTCATCTTCTGAGGATTTCACAGCAATGTAGAAGCAGCACAGTCCAACACATGGCAGGTGTTTGGGTTGAATCTGTAGGTAACAAATTAAAACCTTATTAGGACTATCAAGAAAGCTTCCTCAGAGCAAAATCTGACCATTTTCAGACTGATCAGGCTTGACAATTTACACTGCAAACAAATTTCCAAAAAATTCTTATCTTTGCATCTATATATCAATAGTAGGTTATGCTTCAGCAGTGTGAGATAATCACCAACCTTCATTACAGAGAGGAATCGATCTAGCAAGCTAACTGCCAAGGAGAACGTCTCAGAGCTGAAGCCAAAGAACCTGCAGCGGTAAAGCAGGTCCTTCACCTCCAGCTCTCGCAGTCTGCTGGTCATCCTGAGGCCGTTATCCTGGGCGGTCTCGATGAGCCTCAAGCCAGTGAGCTTTGGTTGGTAGCGGCCCTCTAGATCCAACAGGCCCTTTACTTGAACTGCAAAGGCCTGTGCTCCTGTTACTGTATCAATCATCTGCAGGGGAAGGAAAAAAAAACAATATGGATGACAAATGTAATTTTTTTTTTTAATCCAGCAGATCTTCAAAGTTTGGATTTAGGATGACTTGGGATTATGAAGTTAGAAAGTTACAACTTCTAAGCCCGGGTCAAAAATTCACAAATTTACAAGAGTACAAATTCATACACTTATACTTGTGAATATCCAATTCATAGTCATAAATTTGTCATTCCTACTAGTAAATTTGTGATCCGGATAGGTAAATTCATCAGTTTGTACTAGTATTTCTGAAAAATTGTAATTTTCTAACTTTTACTCATAACTTAAAACCCCTTTTCTCACAGATGATCTTATGTCACATGCATCCAAGAGTTCACAACAACGAATAAATACAAATTAATTGACTTTCATTTACAAAGTTGGACGTCCAGGCAGACGTTTTTAGTAGTAGTCATCTTACCCCATATCTATTCCTCTAAAATGGTGCCAAGACAAAATGGGAACAGAGTGTAAATACAAAATGTTCATATTTTAATGTACAACCAAGAGACCCAACATGCCACTGGTGAGCATTATAATGACAGTTGCATAGTGCATAAAAACATGAAGTGAAATGAAAACTTTAATTGAAATTTTGATTTTTTTTTTTTTTTTTTGTTTAATTGCTTCAAGATATGGAAAAGTTTACTAACAAGATGTAACTTTTAAAATCATATGTGATTAATTGAATAAACAATTTTAAAGCACTTCACATATCACAATTAAAAAGCTTCTCATAAAAACAATTGAACCAAGTTTAGGAAGGGAACAGGACACCTAAAGGGGCTGTTTCCATATTTGTAGGTAACCCAGTAAGAGGTCTCCCCGTTAACTGTCACCAAAACTGGACATAAAAGATGTTATATAACACCAATAATGACTATAGTGGGTGAAAATAGATTTCCCAATAATGTTTCTGTCATATCTCAGTAGTTTAATGTACTTTATCCGACATTAACCTTTGAGTTTGTTCGCATTTGGTTAATTTAGGCAGGGACGGGGCCTTGTTGGGGCAGCTCCGGCGTCTTGTCAGGACATGTCTGCCGCACACGCCACTGAAATTATAACGGCAGAAACAGCCCCAGCTCAGGGAAACACAGCTCAAAACACACAACCGGAGTCAAACGAGTATATATAATGCAGTAACGGCCCCAATCCGATTGAAATTACAAACTTTAATGAAGGTAAATGTTGAATTTAAAAATGACACGGGGACCATGATCAGCTACAGCAGCTAAGCTAGCTTAAAAAAAAGGAAAAAACCGTCACGTTTGGTGGTGTTAGATATATATTTATATATATATATATATATGTTTTACTTTTAATAAGAGAAAGAATTTACCTGTTAATTACCAAAAAAAAGTACAAAGAAAATGTTTAGTTTACTTACCTTGAATAGTTGCTTTTAAAGTCTTCAACTAAAAAAAATATTCACACGCTCTTAAAAAGCGAGTGTAAAAAGTTACAAAACACAAAAAAAGTGTAAGTATGAACTTTCAACTAAGAAAGTTTTAAGCATAGGTTAACGTCTGCCTATGCACACCCCTGACCCTTGGCGTAAGGCGACGGGGAAAAGGACAGTTTAGGTAAATAAGGAGGAATAAAAGCACACCCTGCCCAGCCATGCTCAGCTGTCATTGGCTGGTGACAGACGTCAGCTCTGATTTTGCATTTCGATAGGATGTGTTACCTGTCGCTCAAATTCAAGCCCCGGTCTTTACTGGCTTCAGGACCAATCGCTTTTGAGCGAAGCATGTGGGACGGAAGTTTGTTCTTGATTAAGCATATAAGGCTTCAGATTAATGAGATTAAACTTAAATCTATCAATCATAAATTATAAGCAAATCTAACAACATTTTTAGAATAAATTCTTTGTTTTTTAACTTTATTTTAGTGCTCAGTGATATTGAATTTGCTGTAGAGAAGTAAAAACTGTGTTAAAAGATTACAAAAATATATATTAAGAAAAAACGAAATTTAGAAGAAACATTATCTTGAAGTACCAAACATATCATGTTATCAGTATTTCTACTGCCCCTAGCTTTAAATGGTGATAATGATTGAAAGTACATATAAATTAACAGGATGACCACTGGGAGGTTTTTCCAGAACAATCTGGAAGGAGCCTGAAGGAACCAGATCCCCTCTTTGTTTCCCTTGCTGATTTAATCAGACAGCAAAATCATAAAAAAAAAAAAAATAACACATTAAAAAAAATAAAAAATAAATCATTTGTTGACATTAGAAGATTTGAATCCTGAATTTATTCAAATCCAGCTTTTTTTATGTTACGATTGAATACATTTACAGTTAAATCTGTTAAATATGACATATACATCATTAAGATATTATATAAGAAAATAAATGTTTCAATGTCAAGACACAAATCATTATTTTAGATATATATCAATATAGTATTTAAACTACTATTTATTTAAAGTGCTTCTAAATCATAACATGACTACAAACAAGACATCTTTTGACAGCATGAGCACATGAGGGCATAATGTACTTATTTCACAGTGTATTTTCTAACATTCAATCAACAAGCATTACAAGGCAAGAACAGGAAAATTGCACATCAAAACTACCTTGCTAAAAGTATTCAATCTTCCACATGTCGACATTTTTACAACCACATACTTCAGTGTATTTTACTGGAATATTATTTGATGAACAGAAGCTAAGCACAACGTTTCCAAAATTGAAGAACAATTATATGAAAGGGTGGGTTTCAGAATCATGTTGTTTTCTTTTAGCTTTTTTTAACAAAAAATTTAAAAATTATGATGTGAATTTCTGAGTAAAACTCCTTGCATCCAATTGTGTTCAGAAATCACCTACTTAAAATTCATCATAAAAAAAACTCCCTTTTGTTAACCTATTGCACTGTAAACAGGGCTGTTCTGTGAATCATTTTTAGGAAACATTAGGTAATAAATGGTGTAATGAAAACCAAAGGAGACAGCAGACAAGACAGGACAGAGCAAGTTGTGGAGATCAATGAAGCCGTGCTTTGTTATGATAAAAAATATCTTAAGGTCTGAAAGTGTCGGGTAAAAAAAAATAACACTACATAAATAACATTTTTTTTTTAAACAGCATCACTAATTGGGGAAGTGGCAGTGACATAATCATGTTTTGGTGATGCTGTTCTTCATCAGGGACAGCCAAAAACAAAAAAAGAAAAGAAGAAAATAGAATAGATGGATAGAATGTATAGAAGAAAATACCTGGGTCCTTTATTAGGATATCCTAAAGCAAAGACAGGTGTAATACATGATTTTAAATCTATTGCAAAAGACTTCAAAAACTGATCTTAAAAAAGGCTCTCACATCCTATCTGGCTAAGCTTAAAAAAAGACCTAAAACTCTGAGTGCAAAACAGTGATTCTACAAAGAAAGTATTAAGATAACAGGAGTAAATAAATATGTACTCCACACTTTTCAGATTTAATTTGTAAGGTAAATAAAACATAAAAACCTGGTATTTTTTTCCACCACAATATAATAGGCTACTTTCTGTCGGTCTGAGATATAAAATTATAATAAAAGACAAAGAAATTTGTGGCTGAAACATGACCCCCACTCCAGAGGCGTGAACACTTTTGCAAGGCACATTATTATAAAAACACATTTCTGAAAAGTAGACCCCTTAGCAGGTACAGAAATGAAGTTTAGGAGCCATGCAGAGGCTATGCTGCAATGGGAAGATAAAGGTGTAGGTGACATGGAAGACATCTGCTTGATCAAACCTCAAAGAGTTTGTATTTCTAGAAAATTTTTACTAACTCTTGTTAAAAAATAAAAACACTTGATTGTTAGTCGGACGTTCTCATGCGGTAGAAAGTCTTCTAATTCACGTTCCTTCCTGAGGTTAGGGAGCACGCAGAGGGAAGACTAAAGAAGCTGGAGATGGGAAGACAAAAACAAGGTTATTTGTTTAAAACCAGAAAATGACACGCTTTTGACTCATTAGATAAAAATATCACTAAAGGTTATTCACTATTTGCTTTAATGTCACTGCTAGCAGAGGAGGAATTATAAATAAGCCTCTTTTACAAGAGCACATCGAGGATTTATTGAATAAAACAAATGATCTAAGATGTTTTTATCTTCTGAAAGACAATGATGATAAGATGGAAGTTGAAGAGAATCCATTATGATCATTATGCATTATGCTTTTGTTTATTTGTTTTTAACTGAGGCTGAAAATGTTCTCTACTCTAGATGCGCTGCTGATGTGTCAATATGACGTTACGCCCCTAAAGATGCTGAATACAATAAAATTTTATGTTATTGTATTTCAAAATAACTCCAAAAAAGTAAAAAAAAAAAAAATCCACTGCACTTTGTTTCCAAGTTTGAAGACGTTTCGCCTTCAATTCAAAAGGTCAGAAACAGCATTGAGTTCAAGGCTTTATAGAGTAGACCCAAAACAAATCCTTGTTTTGGCTTAGCAAAACATGCAAATTTAACTGGACGAACAGATCTGCCCCTTAATAATGGGCGGTCATTTGGGTTCTTTATTAGCCTGCAATCCCCAATACCTGTCTATGTCTCTGAAAGGGGGTCATTAGAGGGAATCATTGGCCTGGCTGAACAGGCAAAGTGATCTGTTCCCCTGTAAGGGGATGGGGGTTACGATAATAGCGGGAAGGAATCAACTCTATCGCTAAATTATTGGTTTTTGAAAGCTGAAACCTGAGATCCCGTACCCTCTGTTTAAGGTTGATTTTTCTTTCATGACATATATGGCTTCCTTCACACCCCTTTCAAACCACTCAAAAGAATGTCCTTTCTCCATAAGGTGTAGATGAACCGACGAGTCTTGTCCTGAGGAGGTCGCTCTTCTGTCTTGGGCCATGCATCATGGAGAGGTTGTTTGGTTTTTCTAATACAGGGTGCTCGAGTCCAGTCCTCAAGAGCAACAATCCTTTAACGTTTAGATGCATCTCTTTAACACACCTGAATCAAAAGGCTCAATCAGCAGAGGCATGGTAACGAGCCACTCATTTCATTCAGGTGTGTTAAAAATGGGGTGCATCAAAAAGTTGCAGGACAGTAGATCTTGAGGACGGGACTTGAGCACCCTGCTGTAATATAAAGATCAGAGCATTCCTCACTGCATTGAACTGCATACACCACTCCAGTCATATTTGTTCTGAGGGTTTTGTCTTTAGGATGCATTAGTCTCTGTTTAAGGGTCTTGTTTGGTTTTAAATTTACTGGGATTTTGTGTTTGGAGAAAATCCTCTTGACTCCAGTAACATATGGGATTGCAATTTTTTTCCATTTAATTTTCTCATTGTTATGTTCTGCTGCATGTCTTTTGGATTTCTTTGCTGATTTGACAAACACCCAGTTTGGGTATCCACAGGTTTGAAGAGCATCTTTGATGTGTTTCTGTTCTTTGTGCTTCCCTTCTGTTTAGTAGGGACATGCTCGGCCCGGAGAATGACATTTTGAATTGAAAAAGTTTCCTGGATGGGAAGTGGATTGTTGTTTTTTTTCTTTACTTTTTTGGAATGACAGACCTGGATGACTGAAAATCTTCACCAACATTTCAAAATAACAGCAATTAATATAATATCTTAATTTCAGAGTACCAAGACATATATTTTTATGAAAAATCAGTAAAAGCCAGAAGCAGAAACTGTGCAAGCTGTTTAGGTTCCCTGGGTTTCTAATTGAGAGCAAGAAACTAGTAAAGCAGACAATGAAAAAAGTTATAGTAAAAATTCCAAAAATATTTCTTTGGTGTAAATTAAAAACTATTAATTTATGTATTATTACACGTAAATACAGTTAGTCCAAGGAGACGGTACACTGAGCGTTAAGCACACGTATTAGCATCATCATTATTATCATTGCTTGGTTAATAATTAATAGTGTTGCCCCGATGCCATTTTTTGGCCCTGATACCCGATACTTGGCTGTGCAGTATTGGCCGATACCGATACCATCTGTTTTAAATGGATATGTGTGTATATATATGAAGAACTGCATACTACCTCGATGTAAAATAATTGCCATCATGGCTTTGTCAAGCTGCTGCCTACCTTTGTAAAGCAGGAAAAAGACTAATACAAAGTGAATCCAGCAGAACTTTTTTTATTGCCTCCCTTAAATGGGTGACAATAGTTGAATAAAATTTTGGCTCTCAAAATGGTATCGGTGCCCTATTTGTTGGTACTCGCCCATACTGATACCAACATCTTAGTTCTGGATCGGGGCCCCGCCCGATACTGGGATCGGTATCAATATCGGTGCAACACTAGTAACAAATCAGTTCACACGTGGTGTAGAAAAAAGATTCTGGTTTTCCTACATTGACAAAAACTGCATTTTTCTTGGATGCTCTCATTCACTAGTTAACTAAAAGAAGAAGATACAAATACAAATAAATGCTAAAAATGTATACAGTACAGTAGAAAAATATAAACTTCTCTATGTTTTACTTTAAATTACTCTCCAAAACATCATGCAGCACCTCATACAACTAGTACAGTTCCAAAGAAATATGTAAAACATTTTAAAATGCTACAACTAAAACTAAAGCTCATACTAAACATATTTAGGTAATGCAACT